TCGGATAGATTTCCCGTTTCTCGATCATTATTCAAACTAAAAAGGGGGTCTGTGGAGTTTTTTGTTCTTCGGCAACCTAAACTAGGTTTAAAGCCTCTAGGATTCTCGAAGTTTTTCAGGAAATTTTCCTATTTTTTCGATGATTATTTGAAGGGCTCATTCTCATTGCAGCAGCACTGTCTAAATGGAAATTCTCGCATAATCTTGTCGGGTTTTTTCCATTGCCCATTATATGCTGCTGTGCATTCGTCGAATGACTAGATTGACGCAAGCAAATTCCCATCTCAATCAAGCTACAGTGCTCTGTAATTCGAGCCACATGCGCTGCTATAAATAATCATGATTTTCTAAGCAAGGGAAATTTCCAAGATTTCTAAAGGATAATCTCAAATAGCCCCCCTCCCCTCCCTAATAAAGTCAAGTCACCTTTTATAAATCTACTAAATCCTATCAAATTAGAAGGTATACCGTGTGTTTGTCGCCAAAGGAAGTTCCTGAACGTAAATCTGTTACTTACTTTGGATTAGGTTTTTGAATATTTTAAATTTTTCCTATGGTGGCTTTTGATTTTTTTGCTTCCTCTCTCGTCCTTCTCCCTATGCGTGATATTTTACATGAAAGTGGTATGAAGATTACCCGTTTTCTACTAAAAGCCCCACATGCGATGAAATCATTGTTGACGTTGACGAACTTCTTATGGTTGATCAATCGATATATTGATTAGTCAGTATAATTTCCGAAACAATGACAGATACGCAAAGCAAGGATCATTACATGTGGCTTTTTCACTGCCCATTATATGCTGCTATTCATTCTCCAAATGAGTAGATTGAAGCACCTTTCCTCTACTCCTTATGGTCCGATCAATCGATATATTGATCAGTCAATATTCTGAAACAATGACAGATAGATTGGCACCTTTACTATTTTGCAGCTCAAAGTCCGCTTTGAAAAAGAGCTTTTAAGAGAATCATGTCCTGTAGAGCCCATAAACTTGAAAGAAAAAAGAAGTTCATGCTACCGTATACGTAAAGGTGCAAAAGGTGTCGCAGAATTATACTATATACAATAACCGAAGACGGTATAAGAGGCCAGGTCGACATAGGAACAACATTTTTGTCAATTATGAATGAAGGACTTCTTCCTTGCTTGTAGAGTAGAGAATTGAAGACGTCAAAATCATTGCGTTACCATAGCGGTGCAAAAGGTGCGGCAGAAACTTATACTGTAGCTACCGTAACCGAACAGCGCCTCTAAGAAGCATGGTTTCAACAAACGAGATCTTTTGATTTCTCATGGACATTTCTCGGCTTGTAGCGTAGAACACTGTGACTTAGCCGTGCAAAAGGGCCACAGCGGTCGATGAGCCTAATCTTCGTTTGTCATCTTAGGGTCTAATAACTGCCCTTTCTATCTTGTTCTCATCTTTTTCAACTTACTATACCCATTCATCCACTTAAGAATATTGAGCACTACAAGATTAGCGTATACTGTAGCGGTGTAAAAGGGGCCATCATAGCCTCAGTGCTTCACTAAATGCTTGAGGTCATAAACCAATCTATGAACCAACAAAATCCTCTTATGAATCACATGAGGGCCCCTAAGACCCCATAAATTAAGATTATTCAAATAGTTTAAAAAGTTTCCTCTTCTATATCCTAGAGATTATTCTTCTGCACTCAACTAATATATCATTCATTACTTTTGACAGGAAATAGCACACACCTAAGCCAAAGCGGCTCTAGACGGATTTTCCTTGACGGAAGCGGGATGTCTGGGATTAGAGCATGATGAAGCTGGCAAAGCTCTTTGCTGATGTAAATATACTGCGAAGGAATTTTCCGAGCTGTAGGGGATTTTGCGCTGAAGGAAAAATTTCATGGTCGAAAGCAGGAAGGAATAATAATTCATATTTTATAATAATACAATCCAAATAAATTATCAGTACCAGTGAAAATAAAATTAAAACAAAATAAAACAAGGAACACAAGATAAAATAAACTAAATGCTATATAATATTGATAAATTTTGCAAAAAGCATTCATAACAATATTGAGTTACTAAATAATATCGACAATAAAATTGGTTAGAAACTTATTATTCCATTACCGGCTGTAATCAAAAACTTATTGTATAGTAACTGGTCATAATAAAAAAAATATCAATTGATGGTCATTATCGTAACACTTACTTTTATATTTTTTAAAAATATTTCAAAGTGAGATATACATAATTCAAAAATTTTCAAATATTTTTTCAGAAAAGAAACTGGTCATTTAGGCTATTGTGTTCAGTAAAAATGAGATTTTCTGGAAAATAAGCTAAAATTCCGCATTTGAGCTTTTTCTAGGCAGTACTCCCCACAATGAACCCGCTATTTCCATCATTCCATCAGCTCTTTTTTGCGTGTCTGGCTTTTTCGAAGGAAATCCATAAGCTAACGTTACGAGGCTCATTCACTTGTCTATATCAAATTTTTTGAGCCATATATGCTATTAACAAAACTATAGTATTCCTAGCTTTAATATTTAGTCATTGGTGGTTGAAACAAAAAGTTGTCTGGAGGTCTACCTAATGGATTTGGTGTAGCAAAGCAGCTATATGTACTTTTTGTAAATAAGTCAAAAAAGGACCAGAAGGACTTAGATATAGTATTCATAGTTACCCGACATTATTTTGAATGAAGGGGATTGTCTGAAAATAGCTCTAAAAATTTCCAAGAATATTCTCGAATTTTTAGCAACTTCTGAGCTTGAAATTCAAGAAAGTGCCCAGAGGCACAAATTTTCCAAAGGACTTTTTTCCGAGGTTGATTGTTCTATGAAATTTACTGGAATTTATTTAGAAACCGCTGTACACTTGTAACAATCAGATGTATCCGAAACTGCGGAATTTGCTGGTTCGCGGGATTTGCGGAATTTGTGGTTGAGGTGTTTAGGCACAATTAACTATGTAAACACTGTCGAATATGTCGTGTCTCATAACGGGCGGTGGGAGGGGGAGGGGGGTTTACTAATTTTTTTGGTGGGGAGGAAGTCACTTTTTTGCTTGGAAAGACTCCGGCTTTCTCAAAACGGGTAAAAACTTAACAACTTTGTCAAAGGTACTCCTTTCTCCTTCTTCTAGCAACATTTTCGCCGTCTCTATCCTAGAAATTTTTTGATTTTTGATCTACGAGATGGCATTAGTATAGAGGATTAATGCTAAAAACCTGTTACCAGTTTGAATATTGGTGATGAATACATTATGGTTAAAATTTTTAAACTCACTTTTCCACTCGTCACTGTACAGAAAAATTCCAAGATTGCAACCGACAATCTGTGATTCAGTACGAATGATGTGTTCTCTGTGCAATGCTGTGGTTAATCATTTTTTCATGAAACAGTGGGACGAGTGTGATTGCAGTGCATACTGGGTGAATGACGTCAATGGGCGCGATATAGTGTTTGAGATAATTAGTGGGATTTGCAAACCAGTGGCAGAAAGACGAGGTGGAGGTGGGGGGGGGGGGGACAAGACAATTATAGAAATTGAAATTAGAATAGTTGAAATAGGAATTTGTAATTTTTTAAGTAGAAAAAACTGAAGATCATGTCTGTTAAAATAATGAAATTTCAGAAGGTGATAAATGACAGTAACATCAAAATTTGCCTGTGAATAAATATCAGATTTACCCTCCATCAGTGCTATTACTAAAGCAAACAAAAACACTTCCACGTACTTCCGGGAATTTGTGCAATTCCGTTCTTTTTCACTTCCGCCTTTAATAAATACAAGTTTTATCCCACAAAAGTGATTCCTAAAAATCTTTCAAGATTGATGACAGCATAAGTCTCCTTCCTTTTGACGCAAGGTACCATTTTTTGAAATCTTGGTGTGGGATCACAGTTTCCTTAAAATTTTCATCCCTAAAAAAGAAAACTCAGTCAAAGAATTGGCTTTGGTTTTATAGCTATTGAAAGGCCCTGTACGGAAACATTTTTGAACTGGAATAGAATGCATAGAAAGTACATATTGAAACTTGCTCAACTTTCGTAAAATTGTTTTAGCCTCGCAAAAAGCAGCTAGCTTTCAAAAAGGGTTAGTAGAGTAGCCTAGAAACTGTTAAAGAAATTTTGTAGATAGAAGCAATTAAAATTTTCATCGTTTTTGATTGTTCCCGCATAATTCACTAGTAAATTTGAATTGTTTAATACATACCTGTTCTTATTCATCATCTGCTATGATGTCAAAAATTGTTGCGCTAATCTTTCCTATTAATAAGTTCCTCTGAACGAAAACCACCTACCAACCATGAATTAATTCTTCAAGCGTCTTGACAGCGTAATTGTATAGGATTACCTTTAACCATACATTTTCAACGTCAGATGGAAGCGATACAAATTTCTTAGAGTGCTAAGCTAGAAAAAAATAGAAAGGGGGGGGGGTGGAAGAAGATTTTTTTCAGCAAAATGCGAGGTTGACTTCATATTCGTACTACGTTTTGAATCTTCGAAATGGTAGTAGTAATAAGATCAAGCGGTAACCAAAAACTCACACAGCAAAGACTAATTTTAGTTTAATTATCTTATTAAATGAAGTAAAAGTGACTCTACTTTTGCGCATTATATTAGTTCAAATTCAAGTGATGGATTTATCAAATAATGCTTAGACATTTGATAAATAAATTGGAGTCTAATCTTTGAACGAGATAGATTATTTTGTTCCGCATCTCGAAATTTAATTCTTACGATTAGATACTTCTAGAAATTTTAGTTAGAAGAGTAACCCAGCGATATTTTTTACTAAAAAAAAATTAAAAATTTTGACTTGATGTCAAGGCAAATTATTTTGAGAAATGACCAGCTGCTTATTTTTCTGGTTTTTCTGAACGTTAAGTTAAAAGGACCGCTTATGTATAAATTTCCAAACTTTAGGACCATGCTTGGAACAATATCTAAAGTGAAAAATCATTTTATTGAATTGCTTCGATGAATCATGTTTAATCATCCCTATTTCAGCCTCACTACCATTGTTCCTGAACTTGGTCTCTTTGGTACCATTATTGAACCAGAAAAAAGGACGATCTATACGGTAAGTACATTCTTGGGTAATTAAACCGCATTGTTCACGGAATCAGAATAATAGCTTGATTTTCAGGGATAATCCAAGTCATTTACCACTTTTGATCCTTCTACTTATTGATATCGCACTCTCAGGAATCGTTGCTGTACCGGTGTATTCATTCATAACTGGAGAGTAAGTGTCATTTTATGCCACGTTCCGGTACCTGGTAAGGATTTCGATCGATAAATCGATCGATTATTAGTTGTGGCAGATATACTATGATGTGACTAATGAAAGTTTACATTTGGAAAACATTTTAAAAAGTTCTCTCTATTACAAAATCGTGCAAATGTCTTCTTTTCATTTGTGAATAGGTAATTGAGACAATTTCAAAAATTCAAAAAAAATTAAATTTAGCCAAAACAAAAGTTTTTGCCGCCACTCCCCTTTCTCAAAAATTGGAGTTATAAGCCCACAAAAAAGCTGGGAAACATTTCGAAAAATTCTTCAGGAGGGCTCACTTTATTGGAATAACTCCATTATGTCCACTCCCCCCCCCCCCCCTAAATGAAGTTCTACCTGCCCCCGTCAAACAGCATTATCAGCTCGGACTAAAGGATTCAGAAAAATTCTATGAGTACTCTCCTTTCTTAACCTTACAATCGCAAACATTTATTTATAAAACCTGATCCATCATTCTTTTTTTCGGGGATATCAATGTCTTTCCCTAAAACTACCGTATCCACTTACCTGTCGCACAACCTCAAAAATCAAGATTTGGATTTGCAATTATTACCCTAGTCTGGGACGAGTTGTCGGAAGTTACCCATCATAGAAATGACGAGTTAATCGAGTTGTTCATCGTCTGCGATATCGAAGCTAGCACTACTCCACATAATATTGTTTTTCGTCATATGAAGACGAGAACGGGTTTCCTAGACTCACTGGATGGGACGAAATTTTACACAAATCAATCGAAACTTATTACGACGATCCCACTGATGTCAATTTCTCAGTCATTTGTCCGCCAAATAGACACTCTTATCTTTGACTTGGTAATGATTGGCAGGAGGACGGAAATGGTTCTAGGTCCCAAAGATGAATGGGGATCGTTTTATGAGCTAGAAAAAACCTAGTAATTACCCTTTCGTGCACCAGGGCAGGGGTGCCAAAAGACCAAACAGCTTGATGAGTAAGCATAAGACCAGCTTTGACATCACATGGAAAATTGCAGGGTTTCCAAAACGACTGAAGTTGATTTTTTGACTTCCAAAATTTTGAACTTTGCGTCATTTTTGGCACCAGCCTAGTGATGTCATTTTTGAACTTGTTTGTGATTGTCCCTTATTGTTCTCGCCCATGTGTCGAAAAATTGCAACCCGCACATTTCCGTTTGAAGGGTACATCGAACCAATTAGCAATGGGTTCCGCATTCTCTGGCCTAAAACGGGCAGATCACAGGACTAGGAAGGGGACCGGGGGAGGGGGGGGGGGAGGGGGGGGGACAAAATTTCCGTAGCACTTGTTCACCTAAACTGGCGTTATTTTGAAAAATTCGAAAATCTGTCAATTTCAGAGGTGTCTTTTCCGATGCCAGCTGTCAAATCTATGGTGGAATCGATATGGCATTGTCATTGTCACAAGTGGTACTTGCTAGTGTCATAGCATTTGATCGATATATTGTGACAATTTCACCAAAATGGGGTAAGTCAAGGCTTTTTATTTTGTTTCTACGGTATAGTGAAGGATTGTTGTAACAATAGAGGTGCCCTTAAATATTTTATTTAAAGAGGGACATGAGCAGGATCTGTAAAAAATCTGTCACTGCGTGCTTTTTTTCCACTTTTCTCTATAAAATTCAGAGTTTTTAAAAATCAAATGAAAATATGATTCTATTTTGACGTGTTAAAAACAAAGAATATAATCATTGATCAAACTATTGACTTATTTTTTGTTTACCTTCCTCCTCATGGATTTGTGATTGTTTACCCCTTTTACCAGAGATTGGACGGAAATACTTTCAATTTCAATATTACAACCGTCTGACGTAAATCGCTTCAGGTAGTGAGACAAACAAGAGGACTTACGTCGTATGATCCACCTGCCAATAAAATAAGACTTCTAGTGAAGCCTTAGAAAATCTGAAAATTTTGCTAGTGGAATCTAGTAGAATCAAGCCTTACAAAGAAGCTTTTATCTGTTGCAAAGCCTTTGTTTTCTCGTCTAAAAGACCTTAGAAAAGCTCTGAAATGTATAAAAGGTGAAGAAGTTGACTGCAAGATGCCTTACCCATGTAAAACCAGCCAATCACGAGCCTAGCAGTGACACCGCACTTGCGAGTTGCCCCGCCCATTTCACAACATTCAGCCAATCACCCGTCACCTACAGTAGCTTACAGTAATACTGTATTTGTCCAGCGCATTGCAATATGCTACAATTTAGGAAAATGGCGATGTCATGCCAATTACATGAGAGTAATAGTTATCATCTTGGTCGCATCCGCTGTATGGAGTACGGTACCCGTCATTGGTTACGGTAAATACAGTACATTCCATGCGAACAAATTCTGTTCACTAGATTGGCGACAGGTAGGTCACACTTCGTAAGCAACATTAGTGTTCATACTTCTATTGTTCCTGATTTTCAGGGTGATTTTGACGCGAATGTCGCAGAATCCACTGAAGCAGCTCATCACTATATAGGTTTTCTTACCGCTACGTGTTTGATTTTCTTTCTTATACCAACCTGCATAGCATCCTCATTTTATTACAGTATCATCGACCATGTGGATAGGTTAGTTCATGGCCTGCTTGGTTACTGTAGCTGGTTACGGTATCCTTTTTAGGCAAAGTTCCACAGAAGTTCGTGAAGAAAATGGAAATGCAGTTACAGAATGCTGCACATGGGCTCCAAAAGATAACGTGGCCAAGGTTAGTGTAATCCCAGTTTTTACAAAATACCGTAATCCCAAATACAAATTTTAGATCGGCCTTGGTTGCCTATTGGCTTCGACATTGCCATTTCTGGCATATTCTATAGTATGTTTGAATCCGATGAAGTCTGACTTCAATAATGTTTCATATGTGGTCGTACCAGTAATAATTAGTCGATTTTGCCCGCTGTTAAACCCACTTTTCTATATATGGTGAGTTTGAACATAAACCTATGCCGCAGATAGCATTTTTCCACGCCTAATCTGTTAGAGACACAGGCACGCAATTTTTCTGCTTCTCTGCGCTCTGACACATGGTGTAAGAGACGCACAGATAGAACCTCTACTTCCCTAGGCTCTGACAGCGCATATTTATGAATATTAACCACGCCGCGAATAGTACTTTTCCACGCCTAATCGGTCAGAGACGCAGAAATAGGGATTTTCTCTTTCTCTGGGCTCATAGGCCCCGGACAGGCTTCACGCAATTTGATCGTCGCGACTCATTCGCCGACATTTCCATTCATTTTCATTTCACATTCAAAAATTTCTGGCTGGAAAAGTATCACAACCGAAACGCAAGTTGATCGGCATGGAATGATGCTGTAACAGTTGTCGCGATTTGGTCGTCGCGATTCAGTCGCGACGATCAAATCCCGTGAAGTCTGTCCGGGGCCTTACATGAAAACTGATCGAATGCCTTCTCCATTTAGGTGCAACCCCGATATCATACCGATAAACGAGTTTCTTGCAAAACGAAGAGTGAAACGACGACCCCCTCCAAAAACTTATCATACCATCAACCTCATCGCCGATGTACCCGGAATGTCATTTCCTATTCTGACACCTACAGGTTGGTGCAGTTCACTTTCACCTCCTCTTCACAACTCATTCATTAACTTTTGCTGTTTATGGTCAACTGAATTTCTATCAGAGGTACTTTTGTAAAATAATCTGCTCCCAAAAAAATTCCAACCTGAAACCTTGTGATGATATCCATTCCAGTACCGCTTCCACGGCGACAGCTTCCTCAGATTCCACAGAATCTGATTTCTCCAAGCCAAAAGGAAGTCTATTTTGGCGACGCTGAAGAAACGAGTCCAATGCTTACATAATCAAAGTTCAAACATTCGCTTTGGCTGACATATGCAGAGAAAAAAATTTGATGGAATTCTATTGGAATTAATTTTGAAAATATTCAATATATACTGGTCTGAAATTGTCATCGACTGTAAATATAAATAAAGCTGTGTTGCGAATCTTGCATCCTATCATCAACCAATCAACTGGAACAAGCGACGGTGCCGTAAAAAAGTTTTCTGAACACAGTGTTGCGCCGGAAGTTCCGCAGAGTTATAGCTCCTTTAGATTTTTAATAGGTTAAATTTATAAGGCGTTGGTTTTATACTTGAAACCAGAGTTATGTGTTCCATCTAATAGTGTGTAATATTTAAGAACCCACTACTTTTTTGAACCGTATGGCGACATAAATAGGGTGTTGCATCAAATCTACCGCTTTGATCTAGGGCACACTTCACGCGATTTGGCAATTTGCCAAATGCCCTTAAACCCAATACTGACAGACTACATATTCAAAGCGTGTTTGACTTTCGTAGACTGGTAACCTATGCCTTTCGTTTGTTTAGAATACGTTCTATAAACATTTGGAACATTGCCAAATCGCGTCGCAACTGAAGTCGCGTGAAGTGCCCGAGGCCAGTGGCCTACTCCCAACCATTGCAGATTTTCATTCTTAGGCCCCGGACAGACTTCACGCGATTTGATAGTCGCGACTGAATCGCGACGAGACAACTGTTACAACATCATTCTATGCCGATCAACTTGCATTTCGGTTGTGATACTTTTCCAGCCCGAAATTTTTGAATGTGAAATGAAAATGAATGGAAATGTCGGCGATTGAGTCGCGACGACCAAATCGCGTGTGAAGTCTGCCCGGGGCCTTAGACCGAAATAGTTAGACTATTATTTGAAGTCAGCGCTTTCCCGGCTATTCATAGGTGAAGCTGTCATCGAATGTGAATATACAGGATGCGGCAAAAATCTGGGAGCCTAAGTTTGCAGTATTGCAATTACAAAGATACTGGTGGTTTTGATTTCAATTTTATGCCACACGATGCTGCGGTCATCCTCTACAGAATACACTTTATTTGGTTAGAAATGGCTGCCATATGTTTTTGTAAGAATGAAAATTACCAAACTAGTACTTTTGCAAAGCTAAAAAACCAGAATTTTTAGCATTTACAGTTTTTGCTGCTGTAGAGATGCTGTTGATACTCTACAAAACTTCGATGCACACAACATAGACGAGGCTTTGCGCTATTGTATCCTAAATTTGCTTTTGCCAGGAGCTGTTCTTCATAAACGGAAAATAAAAGTTTGCGAATGTTACCTACGTGTCAGTGGAAATTCGTCTTTCTTCAGAACAAATTTAAAAGCTATAGAATGCTCAACAGGCACTGAGACCAAGGCTGTATTTTTTGCATTTGTCTTCTAAATTAGAATCTATTGAAATTCGGCCATTGGAACACTTTTTATACTTTTTAAACGATAATTTTGAGTTTTTATTCGCGCAATTGAAGCCAAAATTCCGGTATGCGACGTACACATGCTTCTAATTGGAAATCCAATATTTTTACTCCTAAGCAATGCAAAAAATTCTTTTGGAAGCATGTTGTAGATAAAAGCTTGCTCTATCGTGCTTCGCATTTGCCAAGGTAAAAAAAAGCAGTTATTGTGAAGGCGCGGGACAAATTCCATTACGACTACCTGCGTGCCATGACAGATGGACTTGCCAAGATTTTGTAGGGCTGCGTGGAAGCCAAAAGAGGCAGTTTTGCATTTCAAGAACTGGGCTGTATCTGCAATGGTTCGACCCTTCTCGTTTTGTACGAAAAAGTATTAGGCTCCCAGACTTTTGCCGCACCCTGTAAATAAAGTTGCATTGTATTATAATAGTAGCATTTCCTATCATCAACCAACAAACTAAGACAGTAGCTTAAAAATGTTTTTTGTAAACGTATACTATTGGCTGATATGAGTTCTTTATAAAAGCACTTTACCTAAGGTAGTCATTAGTCATCATGAATGCAGTCCTTCTGTTGGTCGCACTATTCTTATCCTGCCAAGCGAGATTGCTAGATGAGGTGAAAAGTCGCAATGTACCTTTGCACTGACGTTATGTATGGCTTTAGGAGAGACGCAGTAGCGCAGAGAACGAAGATGGTGATATCCACAGTGAGTGAAACAGACGAATTGAGGCAGTTTCGAGATTGGATCAGCGTGGGCTAGCAACTCAAACTGAAGGCATTCTCTTACCAGCTGACCTGTTTCAAGTCGGGTTCAGATTTACAGTCTGTCCCCAGTGGGATGAGACCGAAGCATCCTCTGTAGAGCAATGCGTCCGGTGATTAGCAATCGTTGCAGAAGACTTCGTGAGCGCTCAGCGCTGACATTTTGTAACAGAATGAAGCGGAGAAGGTCTCGCACGCGAGATCTCCAGCGCCACACTGTGAACTTGTTTTAACACGTCACACACGGTAAATCTACCCCCCCCCCCGTACTTTTCTTAGGCAAAAGCCTCTGCAGAGTGTGTCGCACGCGGCGATGGTCCTGTGTGGAAAGCGTTACGGTCGTGCTAATTGCCCCACAAGCTACCAAAGAAAATGGGGAGACGACTGTGTTCTTAGGGATGCGATCTATTATATTCGGGATGCCTCGCGAACGGCTACCGCCATTGAAAAATCGGGCTAAACTGAGTTGACAGACCGTACATTGCACGGTCTTACTTGGGAAGTTGCCCGGTGGTTTTTGATTGTACTGGAGCAGGTCGATTGCAGTAGAGCACCCCATACTCTGCCCTCAAATCAAGTTGCCCTAGAAGGTGTCGTGCCCTATCGCAACAGCGAGCTTCGCTTCTAATTCTTTAGGCCCCGGTCAGACTTCACGCGACTTAATCGTCGCGACTAAATCGCCAAGATTTCCATTCATTTTCATTTCACACTCAAAAATTTCGGGCTGGAAAAGTATCACAACCGAATGCAAGTTGATCGACATGGAATGATGTTGTAACAGTTGTCTAGTCGCGATTCAGTCGCGACGATCAAATCGCGTGAAGTCTGCCCGGGGCCTTACACGACTACCAACGACTGCCTCTGGGAGTTATGCGATGCCAAAATGAATAGGCAAAACTATCATGCTGGGTTCGGCTATATGTTACAGCTGCTTTCGGGTCATCCCAATTACCATACCACTGTCACCACATTTATTAGTGTCAAGTGTACCAATGTTTACCATGTTCATTGAAATCGTTCCTAGCGCTCCCTCCGGTGTCTTATAAAGGTCTTCGCAGCCTCATTCCCCTTGCTGATCCCGTCGGCTGGTTTTCTACGTCCGTTTTCACCAAAGTGTTTGACGTTGAAGAAGCGCACTCACCAATCTGCAGGATCGCGAATAGAGAAATGAGGTTGTTCGAACTTAGTCGAAGGGGAACAGGGACACCGATAACAACGGTAAGGGATCCGTCAGAGTTTACCGATGTTACCAGTGTTACCCGTGTTACTAATGTTGTCTCTGTTACTCGTGTTACCAGTGTTACCCGTGCTACTCGTGTTACCAGTGTTACTCGTGTTACCGGCTTACCAGTGTTTCGCTTGTTACTCGTGTTACTAGTGTTACCGCTTATGTTATCACCAATATATCACCAATCATTTTACTACTCAACAGCAATAAAAGCGGTAACAGTGGTAACATGAGTAACAAGGTAACACTGATTGCACTGTAACACTGGTACCAGGTAACACGGATTGCACCCGTAGCACTTTTACGTGTTTAGAAGCCTAACACTGGTGACTGCGACAACACTGGTAAGCGGTAACAGCTTCAGTAGCCCTGATGTATGACAGAACCCTGGCACTGTTGCGTCAGTCGCTCATCGTTCTGAGGTTCATGGAGTTTGAGGGTTCATACTTGAGAATTTTCACAAAATCTGAAAATAAACAGAAATAAGTTTTAGAAAGAGATATGCAAGGAGAAGGCGAGGAGTACCGAGCACGGAAGTCTGTTACAGTTATGAAAAGTGAGTTAACATTTTGCCAAAAGCGATGATAAACGGAAAAAAGCTGTAACATTGAGGATCGGACATGAGAGTCTCTGCTGAATCAGAAAGTACTACGACAACGGCAAAAACGGAATCTACGACAACAACACAGACAAGAATTTACTCAGAAACCGTTGGAATATTATTTAGATGAACTTACATTGAATGTCATGGAACGTCTTTTAGAATGCAAACGTGCCAAAAGGGGGAGGTCTTTGGGACAATATCAAAAATGCTGCATCATCCTTGTACAAATCGGGTAAATAGTATCTTATGATAGCTCTGAGACTACTTCGTCAATGCTCAACTACAGCTAAGGACAGTCTTGCAAATCTGGCTAATCAGTTTTCAAGTTGGCTCAAAGGTGTTCCGACAAATGGGACACTCACAACAACAACTGCACATGTGATTAAACGCAAGAGTGTAGATGATGAAGAAGACGAACAGGAACAAAATTTTGGCAGCGAACACGAGGAAGGAGACGATGTCTATAGAAGACTCAACAGGGAGCAAAGTCAAACAAAGAAAGTAGTTAAGGAAAGAGAAGGGAATGGAAGTGAAGCCGACATCAGGAATACAACCCAGCACGTTTTTGAGCCGAATTTTTACGTTTGGTAGTGAAAAGAAGTGGTAAGATGTAGCATCCATAAATTTTGCATACACTTCATTGCTTCAGATTTTGCTACAATGGTACTCGACTTTTCGCCGAAAATTTTTTTCGCGTGACTTTGTCCGTATCGCTCTTATTTTGTAGAGTTGAATAAATCGGCGTTTTTTGACTTTTCATAATTGTACACATTTGCAAGCAATTGAGGAAGTTTTTACGATGCTAACAACCTCTCTATGCAAAAAGGCGTATGGTATTCCAATCGAACCTTAAAACGGACGCTCATTAGTGTGGTACAGCAATTTGAATTTCTCGCATATTCAAAAGCTTAGCGCAATGTTGTCTTGAACATTGCCAGGTGTATTTTTGGAAAAATTCCAAAAGTTGATCAAAGATGAGATCTCATTATTCTCTGCAATGGGCTCTAACCCTTGGGAACCCAAAATACAACAACTCAGTAGTCATATCAGGCCTACAATAATGTTTTATACCGGCCTTGATTTTGTTCAATTTCGATAAACTAACAACACCGGTAAATATCGTGTAGAGAAAATTTCAGATTCTTCGGCTTTATAGAATACCAGTCTGATCGTCCGGCTTCGCCGGACTCTCAGACTGTTTCAAACGTGCACTGAAATTAAGTTCTGACAAATCCCATCATAATTGGCAAGGAAATACCTATCAGAACTGAAACGCTCCATATTAATTTGTTTCGATTATATTATCAACAGAAAGTGAAAAGTAATATTATATGCGGACATAGAAATCGAGTTTCACTATTTTTTTTTTGACATAAGTCCTATGTCTGACTAACTTGGTTGATGAATCGGACAAAATCGCAGAGACGTTCTTGTTGTGTAATCAATTAACATAAATTTTCTGATAAATTTTATTATTGACATTGTAGTTCAGCACGAAATCACAAAAAATCTGCTTTCTGCGCCTTAAAAATATGAGCAAAGCTTCTGAAAGGAAGACAATACGAAATAATGCTACGTCCATAGTATTGATCATCCCAACGCATACCACGAACTATTTCAGATTGATGTGAAAGCACATTTTGCAAAGAATATGGGATTGAAGGCTCCTTTTTTTTCTCCTATCTGACATAAGCCGTTTTGGCTACGATAATTGCTGTCCATGTCCTAAGTACGGCAATTTTGAAAAACTTTCTTATTATTTGAGTAGACAGTGAAAATCTCAGCAGTAACATCCTTCTAAAGCGAAAATTTTCGTAACATCTTCACTTGCTACATGCTGACAGTAAGCATACACTGCTGACAGTGTACGTGTGATATGAGGACCCCTGTAAAGGTGTGCAAACCCAGCCTTCTATCAAATAAAAAATATCACCTTGTGTAGGAGATTCCGTGTTTTAGCACACCTCATAGCATACCTTCGATACATAGAGCCATGTATTCTGGTAACCTTCACTTTGAGCGTCATGATAGAACACAACCTTCACCTGGGGAGAAGTACAGAAGTCATCCGGGGCGAAGCCCCGGAAATTATGACATAACTAATGACATAACCGTATAGGGATGAATTTAAATGAGGCAAATATAGCAGTGACATTCAAAAGAAGCTCAAAAAAACCGAAGGATTGCGTTTTTATGGCCTTTTTCGTTGAGAAGAAGGTTTTTATTTAAAAATTTTATCAAAAACTAGGGCAAAATTTCTCAGTAACCTTTCTCTGAACTGCGGTTGAATGTTGGAAGTTCATTAAAGCCGCTAAAGTTCAATAAAAACGAAAAACTGCGCTCAAATCTTGCGCAAAGAGTCGCCATACGAATGCTGGTCTATCTCGTTATGGAGTGATTTTCAAGACCCGCGACGTTGTCAGTGCTCCTGGCCGTCTCATGAGGATCACAACGATATATAATTTTGCAGGGTTTCGTTGAGACCCTGCGAAGATCCACGACCAGAGCCAAATGCCCCGTCGGCTCTGGTCTGTCTCCGCTGCTCGTCTGCGTCTCCGCGCGCTGCGCGCTACCTCGCTACCTCAAATGCGGGGCGCGGGGCATTTGGCTCTGGTACCCTTTTCTTCGTTGTTCGGAGCCCAATTTCGATAATCTATATATCATATTAAAGCTCTTGATCTCTATTTTCACGCTGACAACGTCGCGGAACTTCTTTTTAGGATTTAAACGAGAAATCCTCGAAAAACGGCGTTTTTGAAAACCTCTTTTTTTTCCTCAGTTTAACTTTTTTCACTCGGTTTTTTTGTGCATTCGATAGGTCTTGTTTCTGTCTGTGATGTAGACAACGTCGCCGAGCTTACTTCTTTGCTTATGCCGGTTTTTTTGTGAAAAATACAAAAAAGTGCGTTTTTCTTTACCTTGTTCTCTTTCTGTGCTTTTGCAGCGAATTTTTTCCAGCTTGGACGATACTTGCTCAGAATGATGAGCGGAAGAATCCAGACAACGTCGCAGCATACGAAACGACTATGCGGGGGTGAAAATTTAAGGGACGCATCAAAAATCAGATTGGCGTCGATGTGCAACACAACTTTACAGACATGTTTAACATGTTCAATTCAGTTGTTGACAAGTTCTTCTTCTTTCGGTCTCCCAACTAACGCCACAGCTAAACAGCGCTTTTTTGACTGGAAAAGAACTTTGTTGTTGTTGCCACCCAATTTTACCGGCAATCCTGGAGACGAAACTTTGCGTAGAAAACCACCAAGTTAAGGTTTCAGATTTGGTGATGTGCTAACCTCTGCTTTATATGAATTTTCTAAGTTTTCTAATTTAATTTGTATCTCTAAATTTTCGTCTATTTTTTTGAAACAACCTTCACTTTTTATAGGGGGCAAGAACTCAAACAACTATCACTTTCTAGCCCTTGTCTCTTGACTATCGAAGGTATGCCTCATAGACTTTCGTGTGCTCACTTTATATGGCCCAATTAAATCTTGTATGCTGACGGTAGGTGATTGCTGGAGTAAACGAAAACAGTGTTGCTCATTGTTTTCTTAGCAATCTTGAAAATTATTTACGTCGACATCGCTTTGAACCTTAAAATAGTTATGGAAAAAACTCGATATTGTTCTCAAATTTTTGGCTCGCCATAATTGATTCTTGCTAATGAAGCAATGTTCTGTGCATTTCTGCCATCTAAATCAAATCAAAAGCTGCTGTCAAGTTGAATTCGATACCGCTATCTTGGGGTTGAGCCAGACTTCGCGGGGAAGCGGCGTACGCTGCGTACGTCGCGTACGCCTCGCAGTCTGGCCCAACCCTTACTTGTCCTAACATTGCAGAAATATGAATCAGCTCTGGTTTCCGGTTTGTTCGCCAAGCAAGACATCTAATTTGCTCTTTTGATCACGAACGCTCGATTTCGGCTATTTTACGCGCTCTTACTATTCAGCTCCTTTTCCTTACTTCTTTGGCATGGGTCGTTTCATTCAATTACGTTGATATCAAGGAGCTGCATGATTATGATCTTTCTCTCATTTTTTTAATAACCAAGTAATAGTCCGAGTATTAGTAGTTGAATAGTGCAAAATGGATTAGCAAAACCTCTTCATAAACAATGTTTCGAACTGCTCTTGTTGGTGTACTCGCTTTCAGGCCGGCCGGTGTTCGAACTCGGGAGAAGGCAACATACAGCTGCCCGTGGCTGAATACATCTTCAGGGAGATAAACACCGACTTTTGTAAATGGTGCCCCTGGGATTAATGTTAATCTTCATAGCAAACGCGACTTTAACGGGGAACTGACGTCTTCTCAGCCGGAATGGTAGTTACCTTTCGCAGTACTTATCGATTTTCGGAATAACGGCTGGCTGGTCTCTTCGTTCCCCACAGATAAAACGACAACCTAAAACAAAACGCCCTAGAGTTTCGATCCTCAGTCGTGTGCCATTGCAAAGGCCGTTAGTTACAACGAGGTTCCTCAGAAATATAACTAAGGCTCCCTTTTTTAGTTCAGCTTATGAGGAGGCATTCTTGATGGTTCCAGGGAGTTAAGATATTCAAGCGGGTAGAGTTCGGAATCCCCTTCATGAAGAATAGCTTCGTCTATGCTTCTGTAGACTTTCTCGTCCCATTCATTATCTGCATGTAGACGTTGCATCGCGCCATCATTCAGTTGTTTGACATTTACATTTTTTGGAGCCAGGATGGCCCGTTCATAAAGAGTCTCATTTGTATCAATGACTTCGCCAAAAATTGCAGTCACGATGTTGCCGCTACAAATAATATCTTCATTTAAATTAACGCGTCCATCTTCGCCGCTCAATCCATCTCCGATTTCTAGAAGGAAGTTGTGCCAATCGCCCCCTGCTTCCCGAGCGCGCACATTTATGTGAAGCCGGTGTACCTCGAAAAGGGGCCAGAGCGAGGATCTCGTGGCACATGCTTCGACAACGTCTTCTCTCTGACTATGCTCGATGACGGGTAAAATCTGACGAAAGTCCCAACCAACTATGAACAGCTCGCCTCCTCTATCATTTTGCATAATGTCACGAAGCAAGCTGTCGATGGCTTTAAGAGAGCATCCCGTACCACAGAGATTTTATCCCAGATGATGACCTCAGTGGCTGCAAGCTCAAGTGCTTCCCGCTGTTGCTTTCTCATTAGTGACGAACGATTACCGTCTGCCATGTTGAGCTTAAACGCTGATATTACAGTTCGTCCTCCCGAAAGCAAATTCGCAGCGATGCCGGTCCACGCCACACAGAGCACACGGCGGCGCTGCGCCACAGCTATGCTGTACATCACTGTGTTCAAAAAAGTTTTTCCTGTGCCTCCCGGACCATCAATAAAAAAGCACCTATCGAAGTTGCGTTCCATGGCTGCGATGATGTCGTCGGCTGCCCTTTTCTGATCAGCATTCAGTGTTTCGTAAAGACGTATTCCTTCATTGCGATATTGTTCATAATCTATTGTTTCAGTCGGAATAACAGGGTGTGCGTCTGCAGGAGGTATTATAATCTGCCTCAAATCTCTCCCTAAAAGTGACAACTTATCTGCTACATCGAAATACGCCATCGCAGCAGCTTCCTGTTCGCCGAGGCCTCGATTTACATGATCGTCACTCATCGCCATCGCAAACCCATTCCAAAGTTCCTGTGCAGTAGCAGAGCAGACATGCAAAAAAGCTCCGCAAATTGGACGCTGTTTGAAACTGAACTACTTCTTGTATACTCTTTCTG